AACAACAAAAAAGTGAAGTATTAGTGCAGAATTCCACAGTTGGTCCATTCATATCTAAAATGCAAATAAAGGCGAATAAAAGTTCTAGCATTCATTGCTCATAAACGGGCAGACCACGCACACCTGTGCAATGTCGTCATATTCGTATGTCCGCTTTAGAAAAGTGTCAGTGAGTCTCAGTCCAGAAATACTCTGAAACAAAAAAGAGAAGTAATGAGAAAACAAATGAGACTGGAAGAAGTTACCCTCTGAAGGTTCGGACCGTACCTGCAGACCCTGCTCAGAGGAGAAGACGGTGAGCGGCAGCGACAGGGAGGCAGCAGGACTGAGTTTGCCAAGCTGTCGTCCTGAGATTCCACACCAGTGGATGGACCTTGTGTTGCACATTTCCATCACCAGGTCCATGGTTCTTTCACTGCAGGGGTCACAACAGAAGATATCAGCCAACATCTTTGGGTCATAAAGGGTTCAGAAAAATAAATTTCTTCTTTCACAGATTTGAGAAATTTAGCTTTTAAAACACTTCAATGTTTAAAATTATAAAAAAAATCTATCCAGGTAGATGTGTTTATTATTCTATTAAAGAAATAGTTGCTTCAAATAAAAAATCTTTTACATAAAAAAAAAAAAAACCCATTCTAATAAAAAAACAGGTTCAATTAAAGATTAAAAGTATTTGGATGTAAAAATAAAGTTTGATGGAAAATGTTTTCTTTGATAGAAGTGAAAGGTTTTTGTTTGAAACATTTTAAATTTAAGTAATGTTGGGTAGGACATGTGTTTCTTAATTATTAAATCCCCAAAACATTTTTTTTGTTTTCAATAAAAAAAAAAAATGTTTTCAAAGAAAGAAAGAAAAAACTGTTCAAATGCAAAAATGTGTTTGAAAAAAAATTTCTTTTTCTCTGAATAAACAAATACAAAAAAGCTGTTTTCAAATAATGATTTCTTTCATTAAGAGAAAATCCATGGTATGATTTCACGTCACACCCCAGACTGATTGGTGCCAGACCTTAATAATCGAGTTATCAACGAGTGACACTTAGGTTAAAGACCTTAAAAAGAAAAAGAAAAAATTAAATCATAAAGACGTCGAAACCTAAATAAGGAATCGATCACTCAGGAAAGATCTACAAGGTCATTTGGAAGGCTTTTTGGACCCTAGAGAAACACCACTATCCACAAATAAATTTAAAAAAAAGCACGGAGTGAAGAAGTTTCCCAGGTGAGGCTGGCCTAACGAGAAATTAAAAAAAAATGTTAATGTTAAAAATGTTTCACAGAGCCACTCAAGTTTTAGTCAAACTACATTTAAGGAGTAAGACACAAACTTTCTCACTCCAGGCCTTTAAGTGGCTTTAAGCATTTTTTTTCTTTTTTAACCACACATAAGGGAAAGAAGAGTTGCAGCTAACTAATAGTATTAGCTTCTCTACTAGCTACTAGCAAGTAAGCACTTCTCAACTCAACAGTAAAGAACTTCGACATCAGAATGTGGACAAGAGAGCATTCGAGGCCATGAAGAGTAGAAAATCTGGAGACCAGCAAATTTTATGATTCTCATTATAGCAATCACAATTTTGGATGGGGAAAAAACAAACAAACAAAAAAAATAAAAAATAACCTACCGGTAACCCCAAAACAAAAAAGTCAGTCAAAATCAACCCTAGTTTAAATAATTTTAAACTGATTATTTGTATCTAATTAAATTAAGTTTTGATTTTAAAATAATCACCAAAACAATCTGGAAGGGAAGGAATACTTTTTCTAAGCCTTTCTCATACAGGTTATCATTAGGGTTATATATATATTCCTATGGCGGTTTGCACCTGCAGTTGGTGATTTTACAGACGATGCCAAAAGGTTCTTCAAGGTTTACAGTGTCTGGGATCACTTCCAAAGACAGCCTAATGTCTCCGTATCCTGGAGCCTGGAGGATGCACAGAGGAGTGAACAAAGTGAATGGATCTACATATTTGATGGAGGAGGAAAGCATGACGGGGATGCTCTGATACCATTCTCTGGAGCTGACTGGTCTGCAGTCTCCCTCTCTCCCCAAGGTTTGTCTTCCACACAATATCAAGCTTCCCTATCACAGTCACCCCCTTGATGACGCCGGCCTTCTCCGCGTACTCTGGCTTTGGCTTGAGGCAGTACAGGTACTGCCGCGTGTCCATCGGCTGCAGGTAGGACATTTTGCCAAAGGTGGATTCTCTGCTCGGTGATAAATTAAGCACAAACATTAAAGGATACTTCCACATTTGTCCGTACCACGAAGAAAAAGCGGCTGCTTTTACCCTTGATCCCCGCATGCCACAGAGTTGAGCTCGGTTACGTTGTACATCATAGATGGCTCTAGAGATACTTTCTCCATGAACATTGGCGAGGTGGTGATATTCTGGATCTGAGCCTCCAAAAACACTTCATCTGTCTATAATAGAGAGGAAAAGGAAGTTCACACCAATATTTCACCACAACCTTAATGTGTAAGGGACATTTTCTAGGTCAACTGAGCAACATGTTATGTAGTTAACGTTAGAGTTTTTAAATTTTTTACGTCTCAAAGGATAGGTTAGCATTTTTTTTAACTATTTAAACTATAAATGTGCATTTTAGCCGCAACATTAACCCTTTAAAGCCTGATCCAAGAATAAAACAAATCAGAAAATAACTTTTTTTGGTTTGAATTCCTTATTTGCCCTTTTAACAAAATATGTAAAAAGAAAAAACAGAAATACATTTTTGATATTAATAATTTATTACTATGCGATAAGTCAAGATTATTTTTTGTGTAGTCCTT